AAAACATATTACGCTCTATCTATATGGTATTGAGCACTGTTTGTGTTTCGTAAACCAAAATCTTAAGCTATATATATATATATATATATATATATATATATATATATATATATATATATATATATATATATATACCGGGTGTCCCCAAAAAAGTACTCCTGTTTGACTCGTAATAACTTCTAAACAATTAAATCTTTTAAAGAGAAATAACTTGCATTCAATAGAGGAAGCACTAACTTAGATTTTGATATATTACAGTTGTATTTTACTTAAAAAGTCACAGAGATATTAATGTTCAAAGTCGGGAGCATATATTTGGGATGTGTCTAAAATTAGCGAAAATCGGCATATCAAATATTAATTCCAGCGTTTGTTTGCTTAATGAAATATCAGGCTAACTTGTATTTCAGCGAATTGTCGTTGGGGTTTGTAAGGAATATAGCGTAGATTTAGACATCTTACATGTAAGTCTTAGCTCATTGCTTCCAGAAATATAAACGTTCGAAATTATGCAAGTAATTAATAGGTCTTTACAAACTTAAAGGTAATGAAAGACCATGATCTAGGCAGGCGCTTAAATTTTTCTTAGATTTTATGTTTTTAATGTGTTCAAACAGACTGAGTTGATTATTTCTCGGTTAGAGCAGGATGGATATTATTCTTTATTGAAGGAAATAATATTCCTTTTTGCAAATACACATCACCGTATCAATGCCTACTATTTTGTTACGTTTTGTTCCAAAAATGTTGCATGTCTCTGGGGAGATGTTTAATTGTTATGTCTTATGGAGTTGCATGGTTTGATTGTGTTTCATATAATTCTCAGTTTACTCTGAACTTGCCAATATTAAGAAAAGGCAAAAGAGTTTGGGTGTTCTTAACAAGATTTCAGAACGTTGCAGAAGTTAGAAGAGCTTCACAATTCCATTGCGACAGCATGCACTAATTCAGAACAACGAACGACCATTACGATCCTTCGCGATGCAGTGGTCTCATGAAATAAGGAAACGTGTTCGTGCTAGGGACACACGCTAATTCCGGACGAATAAATCTTGCTTGTATTTTGTACATATAATAATACTTTGTTTCATAATAAACAATTTGTCAAGTGTCATTTATTTACTGGTAATAGTGCATGTTTCAATCGGGCAAATCTTGATTAATATTTGATACGCCGTTTTTTGCATATTTCAGACACATCCAGAAATATGCTCCCGATTTTAAACATTAATATCTCCGTGAATTTTTAAGTGAAATACAACTGTAATATATCAAAATCTAAGTTAGTCCTTCCTCTATTTGATGCCAGTTATTTCTCTTTAAAAGCTTTACTTGTTTAGAAGTTATTACGAATCAAACAGGAGTACTTTTTTTTGGGACACCCGGTATATATATATATATATATATATATATATATATATATATATATATATATATATATATATATATATATATATATATATATATATATATTTAAGAAATAGAAAACGAGTCGCGTGCGTTTATTGTTTGATAATGCACGCGGGGAATGTTCGGAGAATACGAGAGAAGCGTGTAAAACACGAGGCGTAGCCGAGTGTTTTACACGCTTCTCGAGTATTCTCCGAACCTTCTCCAAGTGCATTATCACACCATAAACGCACGAGGCGAGTTTTTCTATTTCTTTTATAATATAAGTAGAAGATATTACATAGCAAACAATTTTACCCAAAAGATCGACGTTGAAATTCTCCTAACATGTACTCAGTGACGTCACACGCATGCTTTTACTGTCGCTTGAATTTTTAAGCGAGGAAGGAGAAAAATTGCCAAAACAATATACAAAGTTTTGATGCTATAAAGCCGGAAAAATAGTTGAAATAAAAAAGCAGTGACAAACAGACTAATTTGCCAAAGTTTTTCAGCATCTGGGCAGCTGGATTTGCCATGAAAGACGGTAAATCGTAGGTTTCGTGGTGTTTATTACTCAGTTTTAATTTTCGAAATTATTGTATTTTTTGTCTTTCGGCGAAAATATATCTAGCAGTTATTATCAGAAGAATTGAAGGTACTTTCTAAATCACTTATATTCAGTTTTTGTTGCCTTTTTGAATGTATTTGGTCTTCCAGCTACAGCTGGGTTTTTTTTCTCGACTATTTTGTTCGCTTTTTACCCAAAACCTGTCGAGACAACAACAAATTCGACGAATGCCAAGCCGGTTAATTTTATAAGTAGAACTATAAAATTGATTTGTTCCTTTGGTTTATTCCTTCTTGCTTTCTGGTAAATTTTGTATTTTAAAAGCTCTATAATTTTGTGTATCATTTTGGCTAAAAAGCAGTGATGAAGAGGGGAAAAACGCTAAAACAGAGAAAGAGTAGAGCAGTGCCACAGATCACAGTGCATTATTGGGTCACATGCACGCGCATTAGCCAATCACATCGTCTGTTATATCACACTTATATATCATATATATATATATATATATATATATATATATATATATATATATATATATATATATATATATATATATATGGATTGTCCAGTGCTAAATAGTTCATAAAATTTGGTATGGTAGACCATGAAGAGATTGCGCTATTGATCACTCTCGAAGTAAGCATATATATATATATATATATAAGCATATATATATATATATATATATATATATATATATATATATATATATATATATATATATATATATATATATATATATATATATATATATATATATATATATATATATATAGATATATATATATATATATATATATATATATATATATATATATATATATATATATATATATATATATATATATATATATATATATATATATATCTAAATATATATATCAAAAAATAAAAAGTTCCTTCTGGTTGAAGGTAATCAAGCTAAAAGGATAATTGAACTATTTTTCCCCGAGCCGACGGCGCGAAGCGCCGTGCGAGGGTACTAATTCCCCCCGGCTATTTACACCCGGGGAAGGGAAGCATTAGCGAAGTCTAAAGTTCATCAAATATCGCGGGCGTGGGTCACTGTGCGTGTTTCGGTGGTGGTCATCCTCACTGATCTCATAATATAGCGGACTGTAATGAATAGCCAACACTGATTGGTCCAATTTAAAATTGGCATTATAACGGCTGCATGACGATTGACGACAGCGAAATTGATTTGATGATTTCTTGCAAATATATTTCATTTTTGCAAGATTTTGTAAATTGCAAAGGATTTTTGATGAAATAAAGGCAAGAGGATTGCTAAAAGAAGGAAGTAAAGGTGCCGACGTTAACGAAGGTAAGTTTGTTTTAAATATTGATGCATTGTTTGCTTTTAATATACTGTAATCTCGGCTGTAATTACTTTAAAAGCCGATCGTTGCGTATATAAAATATGAAACAAGACAGCGTATTATTTCAGTGTTTCTTTATTGATTACACTTTTTATTATACTAAGCAAAGTTATTTACATGGGAGAATTTGGAATCATTTTATTTCGAACTCAAAGTTTATCGATAAAGGCAGTTTAGTTCTATATTAAAATAACACTTTCAAACGTTTTGCGAAGCGTTTGTGGTTGAATTTTACCTTACATTGAAGCTTATATTACGTATAATAACATACCTACTGTAATTACTTTAAAAGTGGATCGTTGTGTATAAATATGAAACAAGACAGCGTATTATTTCAGTGTTTCTTTATTGATTACACTTTTTATTATACTAAGCAAAGTTATTTGCATGGGAGAATTTGGAATCATTTTATTTCGAACTCAAAGTTTATCGATAAAGGCAGTTTAGTTCTATAGTAAAATAACATTTTAAAACGTTTTGCGAAGCGTTTGTGGTTGAATTTTACCTTAAATTCAAGCTTATATTACGTATAATAACATACCTAACATATATATGTTTAGGAAATTGATAATTTTGCAATTAAAAGTGATATTTATAGGGAATTTTTCATTTATAAAAATATTTTTAAAAAATTGTCGTGTTACCATGACGACTACTTAAAATACTTCACGTTCGGAAAATAAAATGGTTTTGTCAGCAAGGTGAGGGTTTCTGCATGCATGTATTTTCTAGTTGTAATTTTAACGAATATCGCTTCGTTTCGCCCTTCAGATCGGCCGGGTAATATAAACATAGATCTCCCGAATTCAGATAAAATTAATCTTGTTAGTTCCTGTTCGTGCAAATGTAACAATTTCACTGTTGATATCGAAGGAATAAAACTAGATAACGTGGTTCTTGAGTCGAGGATGGAACATAAAACCAACACTAACACTGAAATTATCAATAACGTACAACAAGAGTTGCTTAAGTTGCAGAGTAAATGTGACATGTTAGCAGATCGAGTGGGGAATATAGAGAGTTCAAACGATGAGCGAGACAGTGATACTATCGCTAGTTTGGAACGCCATAATAAATTTCTTGTTGAGGAGGTGAAAACCTTAAATTTTAAGTTGGAAAATCTTGAGAAGAAGGCAAAAGCTGAGAACGCAAAAGCTGAGAACGCAATTAATATCCATGCTAATGATATTTCCTCTCCTAAAACCACCCATGTGAATAATGAAATGCATGTTATGAGTATAAGTAACCTTATTCCCTCTCCTAAAACCACCCATGTGAACAATGAAATGCATGTTATGAGTATAAGTAACCTTATTGTCGATGACTCTGAAGAAATTAGCATTGTTTCTAGCGTTAATGACCCGTACCACATTAATGTTGGTCACAATATTATCCACATGAGTCTAATCAACAACAAAGTATTCCAGTTCGTATTACCTCAATTAGGAAATCAAAACAAACCCGTAAAAAAGTTAACTTGAGACAAGCAGAGCTCAACTGTTCAAATACGGTTTATAGAGTGGGAAGTTGTGTATCTACACAGGGGAGTAAACAGTCAAGATCATCCGACAAAAACAAAAGTCATAACAATCACAGAAAAACCAACAATGAGGGTTTTTGTACGGGTCTCTCGATGAGAGACAAAATAGGATGGTTCAACTTTTATTACTGAGTCCCGAAACATTGGAAACTTCTACCACGGTAAACTTTACCGGTGTGAATTATAATAATTTAATTAATATTCCCTTGACTGAATCGGTAAGAAACCAAAGTGATGCTGACGTAATGCCAAAGAAACTAACTTGTCTCAGATTTGCTTGTGTTAATGCTCGGTCTTTAAGAAACAAAACAGCAGATGTTGTTGATCATGTTGTGAATTCTAATATTGACATTTGTGTTTTTACTGAAACCTGGCTGAAAGATGTTGACTCGGTTACGATTGCCGCTCTTTCTCCTAATGGTTACTGTTTTCAAAATTCGCCCAGAGAAAATGATAGATCAGGCGGGGGAGTTGGAGTTATGTACAAGAGTATAATGAGAACTAAGTTGATGGACGCTAATCAGTTCAGATCGTTTGAATTTTCTGAGTGGAATGTAACAATTCAAAATCAAGTTATTAAACTTGTTGGTGTGTATCGTCCGCCATCCTCTACTAACTATCCTCAACCCGTGAGTTTGTTTTTTGAGGAATTTTCTACTTACCTTGAAAGTATTGTGATATCAACTGAGAGGTTACTTATTTCAGGCGATTTTAATTTCCACGTAGAATCTACTGACGATACTAATGCCAAAAGATTCTGTGAGCTTTTGGAAACATTTGGTTTAACCCAACATGTTGCCTGTCCAACTCATACTTCTGGACATACTCTAGATCTTATAATATCTAGATCAATTAATGATGTGATTATAACTGAATTAGAATCTACGTTGGCTTTATCTGATCATTCGTTCATCGAGTGTAATTTGAATATGCCTAAGCCAAATTTTGTTGTTAAGGAACTTCGATTCCGTCAGTTGAAAAGGATAGACATTCCCATGTTCAAAAACGATATTTCCAGGTCTGAATTATGTGTCAATTCCTTTTCGGATATTGATGAGTTTACACGTTGTTATGATACGACTTTGTTAAATCTTTTTGATAAATACGCTCCTATTAAGACGAAAAAGATGGTTATGAGACCTGTTGTATCTTGGTTCACTGATGATCTTAAAAAGCTTAAAGCTGAACGACGGAAATGCGAAAGAAAAATGCTTCAATCTGGTTGTTCCCATGATAAAGAGCTTTATTATAAGACTAGAGATAAATACAGTGCCCTTCTTCGTAAAACAAAGACTAGCTATTATTCTGATTTAATTGACAAATACTCAGGCAATTCTAAGAAATTGTTTCGTGTTATCAAT